ACGTCAATCGGTCGTAGATAGATTTACCCCCGTACTGACCACTGACTAGTGAGGCAATGTCTCAGCGCGGCCGGGAGCCAGCTGACATGTGTTAGTTGGCTCTCTGCTCAGGGCCGGCCTCTCACAGCTGCCTGTCGTTAGAGGCGATCTGGGGAAGCCCGCGGTTCGTCGTTCTCACCTGAGCAGCCCTGCTGCGCCGCGCCGGTCACTGCAGTCCGGCTAACGAGCTGCCAAGGACGTTCGCCAGCCGTCCTGCCGCGCTGCGCCATCGGACCAGCACCCCTGGAATGCCGCACTGCGCACACCGACCGGCCGGCACGTGCTACGTGACATTGACAAAGCTGGAAACGCCATGTTGAAACGCTTTTGACCTTGATCGTCCAGAGCATGCAACCGACCCGGGTAATGAGCGCTTTCATAGATGGAATATGCACGCCTCTATGCAATTGCATATGTAGGCATTGCTCCAGCTAAACATGCGGGCTTTTTTGTGAGAGCAGCGCCACGCATAACTCTTGAAATTTCTGACTAGCCTAAAAAATAAGCGTTGGAGCGTTCCTATTCACAATTTATTTGCTCATTTTGTTTGCAAAACGCCCAGACATTGTTCTTTTCGCGTTTTGGCCACAGTTTGAGCTGTCGGTAATCTCCAGTGACTTATGCTAAATTTTAAGTTAACCCGCGCTCCACTGGGGTCTGTGTATAACGCGCCCTACTGGGGGGGGGGCTATTCATAGCCCCCCCCCCTCCTAACTCTAAAACTACTTTGCCGATCGTCAAAATTCAAACGGTATCTGATAGCCCCGGAAAAACTGTCGGGCAAAACCTAATTTCATTGACCTCGAGGTCAACGATGACGTCACAGGTCAGGTCAAAGTAAAGATTATCGATGTTTGGCTTGTTAACATTTTGGGCTCTGGCTGCCGTCTTAACCCTCGCCCCGTTGGGGGGGGGCAATTTGGCCCCCCCTGTGGTTTTTCCTGAATAGCAAGAAAACGGCGGCGCGCAGCGATTTCAGTACCTTCCCGGGCATCAATTTGACACCTTCACACTAAATTTCAAGTCTTAGGTCACCTTAGGTCAGGAGTTGTTGAGGTCAACCTGAGGTCATGTTCGAGCAAAAATGAGCAAAAAACATGCAATCTTGAAACGCTCACCAAATCTACAGTTATCAAGCAATTTCAAAGTTCTTTATATGGTCTAGTAGACAAAAAGCGGCGCTACAAAACTATTATCTCGGATTTTCCAAGTTGTGGGTTTTTGATCCCGAAAAATTCAAAAAATGATTTTTTTTATAAAAACTCAAAAAAATCCAAAAAGTTTTCCGAATTTCGAAAAAACGGAATATATGTGATAGTCCCTGCGCTCTTCTATATACATACCAAATTTCAGATCGATATCTCGTTTTTTGGCCAAGTTATAGCGAAAAAAAAATGCTCAAAAACTACGACGTAAATTTTTTAACTCAATTTTTAGCGATTCTAGACCACGGAGGGCAAAACAAAGACCACTGTTGAACTTCCCGTGACGAGCTGCATCGATTCGATATCAATTTTATGCAAAAATATCAACTATGAAATTTGACCCAATTTGACCTGACCTTGACCTGACCTTGACCAAAACGTGACCTAAGCTAGCCCCAAAGGCTGCCTGACCCACATAATCGCATTTGTCATGTAATATGGACCATAAAACATTTATCACACGACACTTTCATATTGTGATCCCCTGCAGTGACCTGACCTCTGTGACCTGACCTGGTATCAGTGACCTTAAATAGCAAAATATGTGTTTGAAGAACATTTCCCCATCGATGATTTTCAATGAAATGCATTTTACACGATTTTGCAACGCATTTCTTGGAATGCCTGTAAACGGTGAAAATTCGACCTTTGACCTGACCTGTGACGTCATCGGTTTGACCTAGGTCAATAAAATTGGGTCACAAGGTAGTTCCCTGATAGGGCTATCCAACACCGTTTGCTGCTTGTCGCTAGGTTGCGTGGTTCTCGAGATCTTAGGGGGGCCAAATTGCCCCCCCCCCCCCCAACAGGGCGCGTTGCTCAGCAGAGCCCAACGGGGCGCGGGTTAAAAGTCAGATCAGGCTGATTTTTGGTTTACACACTCGTGATCAGATGCTTTAGATACTCTGGGGGTACCAAACTTGTACTTTGATTTTCAGGTCAGGGTCAGGTCATCACAGGTCACGGAAATCATCATAAGTCGGTCACGTGACACATGTTTTATGGTCCATTTAGGCCGTAGATTTCGAATTCGATGTCGTTTATGTCATTCAAGGTCATTTTGAGTTGAATTTGGCTTAGGTCAGGCCACTTCCAGGACAAAAAAAGGTCAAATGTTTAAATTGAAATTTTTCAACAAAAGAAAATATTCGGATGAAGGCTAAAATTGAACTCGAGAAAGATTAGAGTTAACCCGCGCCCTGGTGGGGTCTGTTTATAACGCGACCTGGTGGGGGGGCTATTTTTGCCCCCCCCCCCTCGTATCTCCGAAACTACTGGACGGATCCGCAAAATTCAAACGGCGTTCGAAAGGCCTGTCAAATTTGTCGAAGAAAACCAAATTTCATTGACCTCGGGGTCACCGATGACGTCACAGGTCAGGTCAAAGATGAAATGTTTCACCGTTCACGGGTCTTCTAGGGAATGCGCTATAACACCGAGGAAAACGCATTTTGTCGAGAATCAGCGATAGGGCGTCAGTTGCCTAGTAGATATGTTGCTAATAGAGGTCACTGACAATACCAGGTCAGGTCACAGGTCAGGTCACCAAGGGTCACAGGTCAGGTCACATGAGCCCAACTTTACTAAGGTTGTGTGATGCATGTTTTATGGCCAATTTTTCATTTCCAACTCAATGGTGTTGGTTATAAGACTAGCAGGTACGGCTTAGGTCACTTTCTGGTGAAGTTCAGGTCAAGGTCAGGTCAAGGTCAGGCCAAAAAAGGTCAAATTTTAAAGTTGATAGTTTTGCATAAAATGGGTATTGATTCGATGCAGCTCGTCACGGGGAGTCTAATGGTGGTCTTTGTTTTGCGCTACGGGGTCTAGAATTGCTAACAATTGAGTTTGAAAATTTGACGTCATCAATTTTGAACAGTTTTTTCGCTATGACTTCGCCAAAAAAAGAGGTATCAATCTCAAATTTGGTATGTGGATGGAATGCGGTAAGGACTATCACATATATTCCGGTTTTTGCGAAATTCAAAAAACTTTTTGGATTTTTCGATTATTATACCTATCCACAAATTTTATTTTTTGAGTTTTGGGGTTGAAATCCAAAAATTTCACAAATCCGAGTTTCCAGTTTTGTAGCCCTGTCGATTCTACAGCTTTTATGTCTTTGTCATTTTTCTGTATTTGCAAGGCTATAGGCCTGACAGCTCTTCCCGCGAAACCCTTTTTTGGGTCGAAAACGGCAGAACATGACGTCTCTCTGACGTCATTTCCGGCCAACCTATCATAGCCTTTGGAAAAATTTTTGGTCACAATGTGTAAAATTGATGTCCGGGAGGCTACTGAAAGTTTGGTGACGATCGGCGCAGCGGTTCTGGAGATATATTGAAAAGTCTGGAGGGGGGCAAAAAATACCCCCCCCCCCCCAACCAGGTCGCGGGTTAAAAAGGAGGCACTTGCCTTTTGCATGCATTCGAGTCAATCTCGTTCATGCAGTCATCCATAGAAAAAATAACGTTATAATAAACATATATGAAATATGTCAAACTTTTAACTGGTCACCATAATCGAGAGCGGTTGAGGTGGAGCCGCCCCTGCCACCTTGATCAAGGCTGAACGTGCCGGCGGGGCCTGGCAATGTCGACTGGCGCCGCTCCCAATACCGGCGCTCCCATATTTCATGTGCGCCCGGACAGCGGCCTGCAGTGCCCGGGGGTGATGTGGGGCGGTTCTTCAGAGGACGGCGCCGCTCGGGGGCCACTGCTGCTGCGCGCTGACCCCCTGCTGAGCGCCGCTGAGCCGCCGACCGGCCTGCACCGCGGCCGCAGCGCCGGCGGCCGGCCGAATTAACATGCACTGCGCCACCCGACCCGGAGCGCACTGCAAATATGCGAATAATGCATCGGCGAGCAGGCAACAGAAATTGTAATATCGCCCTATACGTGCATCGATCCGCCGGGCACTGCTGTGGGCGGGCCCCGAGCGCCGGGTTTCCAATACGGACCGCTGTTGTGGGCCCGGCTCGACTCTGCTGTCCTTGTCATGAATCACGTATCGCATGCATCGCTGGTAAACTGGTGTAGGTACGCTGCTGTAGGGCACATGCGTCGCGCGTGCCCTACAATGTCGTTCGATTGCGGTTACCACTGAATTTAGACGGCCTGCTAAAAATCGAAAGTCCAATTACCTGAGTCAACTATCGTGACTCAGTTTAGCCAATGAGTCAGATTATTGTATTCCTGATTGTTCCATGAAGTCAAGTGTTTTGTCCGACATTTTAGTGGGCTGGAGGCTGTGTTTTCTTCCGTCTTCAATATGTCATGAAATTTCATGATAATTTATATATTTTCATGAAATTTCCTCCTTTTAAAAATATGCTAAGCCAAATTTATATCAAGTTGTACATTTCAAATATATTGGCCACGGGCCCTCACCAGTGAAATATCAAACACATAGTTAATTGAATATTTGAACATATTTGAATATTTCACTGATGGAGGCCTGTGGCAGACATATTTGAAAACGTTTGAATCGATATAATTTTGGGGTAGCTAGCATATTTCTTGAAAGAAGGAAAACTCATGAAAATATACAAATACTTTTTATATCAAAAATGCTCCTCCTAAGAGCACTAATTATTCTGTTTATTTTTCATTGACAAGTCCTGCAGTGTAGGCAATAGATGGACTGGTTTATGAATGCTTCCAATGAAACGCACATAGATTAGGAGGACCTGCCAGATCCCATTAATATCGAAGTATCGAAATCGAGGAACATATTCACTGTTCAAACAAAAACACGGAGTTAACTCCACCATAATTTTTATTTTCCATGGCGTTCCAACACACTGTTGACAATGTATCATATTACCACAATATTAATTATATGTATGCAAACGCGGGACGCATTTAGACATAAGCAGTTAACGCAACACACTGGAATCGATTGTTAACAACACGCGAACAGTTACAAGACGAGAACCGGTTGTCGCACTGTTAAGCTCGATACACATTCGCATTAACGCTCAGGAATGAGATCAGGCCTAAACTGTCGACATTTGTACAGTAATTACACAGAAGGTCCGGCCAGGAAACAGTATTGGAATGTCCCGGACACACGGGCTGCTCACAATCAAATATCCACTGCACGTGAAAAACAAACCCCATTGGAGTGCACATAGTCATCACCACTGTGTATGTGTGTGTGTGTGTGTGTCGTCCGTCAGTGTGTTTGTGTATTTACAATGGCCTGCACAGTAGGTTTGTGGCGGTCGGCCGGCGGAGGAGCGGCGGCTCCGGCCGGAATATGGAGACAATATTGCACCGGGGGTGGCGGGGGAGGGGTCGGCGGCCCGGCCCGGCGTCTGTCAGGGACCGTGGTCCGTACCCCGGTCCGTCAGTGACCGCGACCCGTCACGCGGTCCGTCACCCGGTCCGTCACCAGGTCCGGCCGACAGACAGTGGCTAGTGGCAAGAGGGGTCGGCGGCGGCCGGACAGCACCGGCTGGCTGGTGCCCGGCCGGGGTGACGGGCCGGTGACGGGCCGGTGACCGACTGGTGACGGGCCGGTGACGGGCTGGTGATCTGAGGTAGCCAGTGGCTCCGGCTGCCCCACTGTCCCGGGGGCGGACACAGTGTCAGTTGGCGTCTGACACGTGTCAGTGTCTCGCACGGTGTCAGACAGAGCAGGGTCGTCCCGGACGCTGCCGGGCGGCGGTGGCCAGCCGCCGACTGAGCAGCCGGCCTTTCGGCGGCCCTTCTAACCAGACACCCGGTGAGGTTCTCCATGTGGCTGGTAACAAGGCAATCTTCTTATTGGACTAGAGCATATCACAGATAGGCAACCTGAAAAAGATAGGAAAAACAGTGAGCTCTGCGAAGCTTGCTTAAACAAAAACGCAGCCATCAGCTGGGGATATCACGTCCCACACTTGTATTGGTCGGGGGGCTGATCTGATAAAAACAAATATGCTCCGCGAACCACCACAATCAAGGGGAATAGATATTTACCCAACTGTTTGCACCGCTGAGCGCACAGCCTTTTCCTGAATCTCTGAGTGCCATCGCTGTATCGCACGTGTGCGGGTGCCGGCCGACTGCCACCCCGCCCGCTGCCCTACCGGTCCTCAGGCTGTCACACGATACCACCCCTCCGGATCCACATGCCGCCACACCACCCACGCCCAGCTGTGTAGGGTCTCAACTCACCTGGTGGCATGGCTGGGCGTGCGCCGCCGCCGCCGGGTCACCTGGTCCGAGCGGACCATCCCGGACCATCCCGGACCATCCCGGACCATCCTGGACCATCCCGGACCGGCCCGGAGCGGCCGGAGCGCGGCTGCTGCGCCCTCGCCCCTAGTGGAAGTCGTTCCGCCAGCCGTTCTGGAACGGACAAGGTCCGACGGTCAGAGGCAGTCGGCAGCGCGTGCACGGCACGGGCGCCGGGCGGTCGCGCCGCGTGTCGTACCAAGCCAAACCGGGCCGTACAGCGCGGCCTCCTCTCTCACGTGTGCTACACTGTATTACATGTATTTACAATCAGCTAATCGTCAGTCTGCGGCCAGCAGCGCGCGCCGCGTGTACCTAAAACACGGCGCCCAGCCGCGCCGGTGCAGACGACTCGCCTCTAAAAATACAAACATGGATTATCCGCACGAGACCGGACCAGACTGAAGGTGGTCTGGACCAGACCAGACCAGACCAGACCAGACCAGACCAGACCAGACCACAGCATACTGCAGGTAGTCCAGGCCATGGACGACACCCGACTGCAAGTGGCCCGCAATGATAGCAGACTCAGTGTATCCGGCGGGGGCACAGGGACACGGGACTGGGACTGGGACACGGTACATGGGACAGGGACGCGGGCCGCCGGGGACACTCACCATGCCGTTGGAGGTGGCTATGCCCAGGCTGCCTATACTGGGCATTGCCGAGTAGGTCGGCTGCGGCGCGAAGTTGCCCATCGACTGCATGTTGTTCGGGTAGGCCATGTACGGCGACATGCCCGGAGCGAAGTTGGAGCCGGGGAAGCCGAAGCCAACCTTCTCCATCGGCCGGATGAACTCCTGGATGCCGTAGCGCTCCTTCTTCTTCGACTTGGCCGACAGCTTCCTGTTCCTGGTCTGGATGCCCTCCTTCTTCATGGTGATGGGCCGGTTCACCTGGCGGTGAGGGACGGTGGTCAGTGGGGTGTCTTTACGAGGGTGACTGAGCACGGCAGTGACAGCGAACGGCAGCACACCGGGTCCGAGGGGCCACCTCCTCCTCCTCTGCTGCCGCCGCCGGCTGGGCCCGGTGCAGCCAGCAGCTACAGCAGCAACACACGGGACGCACCGATAAACCATTCAGGCGTGCTTTGTTTATGGCCTTCTGCTGGCCATATCAGACGTGTGGCCGCCACAGGGCGAGGCCGCAGCTCAATTTCAGTTGATGAATTACAAAAATTTAACGAGCGATTACCGCACCTCGGGCCAGCTTTATGCATTAGCTCGTGATAAGTGGCGAAGCAGGTATCCACGCGGCCGACAATGCTCCTTAATAACGGCGCGTGCCTTTTATTGTGGCGTCATTACAAAAAGCGTTTAATCATTCTCAATGACGGCGGTATTTAATTTAACGAAAGGCTCTGGTCACCTGATACGGCTCGTGGCTATTTCTCGCCTCTTCCGCTCCGCTGGTGTACCAATTGAGGTCAAAGCGGAACAGAAGGAAGCGCCCGTGCTGGGACCCATTGACAAATGTACCGGGATATTGTGATTTGTGTTACTGTTGAGCAGTGCGCTTTTAAACAAGTACAAACATTCCAGAATTGGGTCACGGTGGTCTCGTGGCAGACACACTGGCCAAAACTTTCTCCGTTCAGACGCAGCGTTAATGGGAGTTGCCCAACCCCCCGCTGGGATTGGTTCTAGTTGAGCGGCGTTTTGCATGGCGGCGGCCGGGAGCCATCTCGGGCAGGAGCGGTGCAGCGGAGCTCATAAGCCGGGCCCGTCTGCTCGCTGGCCACTGAGAGCAGCCACACTGAATCACCTTTAGAGCCCGATTTACGTACAGCTCCTGAGCGGAGCTGGCCACTAACCGGTCGGCCCGGCCGGCACTGACCGCGCTGTGCCGATCGACAGCGGCTCCGTATCAATTATTTATTGTGTCCCGTGTCGGCTGCAGCGCGGGCCCAGCGCTATATTGCAAATAAGACAATGAAATTCAATTTTGTCATTAGGGACTGCGGCTGATTTATCGCAGGGTCGGCGGGCCACAAATCGCCGTCGGTTGTTGGGAGTTTTACGGTCCTAGCAGTGGGTCCATTTCCCTGTATGGCTGCTCGAGCACTTCTGATAAATGGCATGAGCCTACCAACCGTCCTGCGCCGGCGCAGTGAAAGTTTTCACAATGTCCAACAAATGGTGATGAGGCTTCCATTCACCCAGGATGAATAACTGCGAAATGCGACATATGACGGATTGCTCCCGTAAGGGCTGTTTCCATTTTTGTCTTGTAACCTACAATAACATGCGTTTAGAATCACCGATCGGCCGGTGGTGACAGGACGTGCCCGAGTAGCAGCAATAGATCAGTGAGCAAATCCTTCTGGGAAAATGGGTATTTTGCGCGCCTACCTGTCATTATTTCATTCATTGCCGGCATCACGTGACATTAATCCTGTCCGTGCTGCGCCAACTTATCGATAACGCCCGCTCACCTAAGCCCCGCGCTTTCGGGAAAAAGTGCGCGGTGACGCGATCGTAGCAGACTGTCGCTGGGACTGAGGTCACTCGGTGCCCACTGCTGATGACGCCGGGGTCACCAGGTACCCAGTCCTCTGGAGCCGGCGACGGCCATCGGGTGCAGCGTGAACGACCCGTCACGGGAGAACACGGACAGGCGGTACCCTCGTGGTCCGCCGAGCGGCCGCCGCTCTGCAGCCCAGCCATTATCGTCCTCGGTCCGTGTCTTGTTCAGCGTAACTCCGTACATAAATGGACCAATGAATAGCTGTTTGTCCGCGTTTTACAATGCACCGAGAGCTATCTTAGAGAGCTCTGGAGTGGGTGTACCGAACACAAGAGAACTTAACTAGTCAGCGGCCAAGTAACTCTTGGCCAGCTTTATTACTTTTTAATGAAATTTAATGCCCATTTGTGTTGTTGGCCGGGAGATTTACAGCGCATTGTTTATAGCGGCGCGGGATCCTATATTTACCGCCGACGGCGCCCGTAAAAAGGCGCGCGCGGCGCTGCACCCCGCCGCCGGTGCTCACTCTGGTATTTGATAGGCGCGCGCAGATCCGATTTCGGCGCCGTGTCGCCGAGCCGATGGGCCGCGACGACACGTTATTGCCTATGCGTCGGCCGCAGGCCACTTTGTTATGCTAAGTGACAAAGGGTCGTTGATCCACGCCAAGGAGCCCGTTCGCTGATAATGGAGTAAAAATTATGCCACTATGGCTAACGAGGCACCCGTCTGCGCGGCTTTTTCAGCCGACAATGGCACCTGCTACGGTGTTGCCCCTTCAAACCCGCTAGCTTTCAATCCCAGCCATTCTATTACGGTGTCAAGACGCGTTCTTCGATCCAATTATAATTCATTCTTGAAATTGCGTCCGACAAAAAGTGCTCAGAAGTGTTCAAAGGGTTACAGTTCAGGTGGTGGATGGTGGGCCATTTAATCCCCGTCCATTGTGGGTTTAACAGCGGCCGGTGGCGGCGGCGGCGGCGGCGGGCGACAGTGCGGTGTGACGGCCCGCGGTGTCGACCCTCCCTCCCGTGTGACGGCCCGCCGTGTCGACCCTCCCATCCCGCGCCTCTAGCCGACCAGCGACAAAACACAGCGTCGCCTTCGACCCACCTCTCGGCTCGACCGGCACGTTGCATAAATTCGACGCGCCGGCCGCTTCGAGCGTGGAAATTAAACACCACCACAAAAACGCTCCGGAAAGGCAGTAATTCTCATCCTTATGTCTGTCTGTGAGATAACTTGAGATGTCCAGGTTAAAATATAGGGGCAGGGCGGTGTTAAGAGTGCTGGTTTTTGCGCCCGCCGGCCCGCCCCGCGCGCCGGGCTGTGACGCCCCGTAAGTAATTGATAATTATTCCTCCATCGGTGTCGAGCAAACAGCGCCGGCTAGCCCCTCGGCTGCTCGGACCTCCTATTTGTCTGTCGGTGTGTGCCGGGGCGGCGCGAGGCTTGTAGGACAGCGGCTGAGCTCCGCCCGAGCCGACCCAGAAAGTCCATGGGAGAGGGCTGGGAGAATGAGACTGTTGGAGATCAACGGTGCTGGACAAAGAGAGGGAAGAGAAAGAGAGAGAGAGAGAGAGAGAGAGAGAGAGAGAGAGAGAGAGAGAGAGAGAGAGAGAGGGAGAGAGAGGTGAGAGAGGCCGTCGGCCGGCCGGGTGGACCGCAGTAGATCCGACTGCAGAGGTGCTCCTCTCGAGCCAGCCCTGGTTCGTTGCCGGCGGCGCCGCAGCTGCACCCCAAACATGGTCTGCCGGGGCAGCTGCGGCGACTGACCGGCGCGGCGGCAGCTGCCCCTGCTGCACTGGTGACGGCCCGCCGTACCGCACCGGGCACCGACGGCCGAAAACGTGACATCCGGAGCAGGCGGGGACAGGCGGCCGCCCGGCATGGCTCTGTCAGGAGCGGCAGGCTGCGACGGCGGCCGGCCGGCGCTGGGTGACGGGACTGACGTCCAGCCGACCCAGGTGGACGTCAGTCAGTCAGTCAGTCCGGTCTTCCAGACCTCAGACCATCACGGCTTGCGGCGGTAACCGGGCCGGGTCGGCCGGCCCGTGACCTCGGCGGTCGCCGGCCGTTCGCCGGTCGGTCGGGGCCGGTCGGGCCGGTGGCGGTGGCTCGCGCCGGCCGCGCTGCCCGCTATCAGGCCGTCCATCTGAGCCCCGATCAACACGGTAGTCGCCCGCTCACGCCGAGCCGGCCGCATGATCCACACACAGATTGCCGGACGGGCGCTCCAATCAACTTTTTGTCGCCGGACGCGGTAATTAATAAAACGAGACGAGAGCGGCCGGACGGCCGGCCCGCTCCGCCCGCTCCCGGGGCTCCTGTCGGTCCGCCCTGCCGCGCGGCCGTCCGTCCGCCCGCCCTGCCTCCGCTCCGCCCGCCGCGCCGGCCGGCCAGTTCAACCACCACAGTCCGCCCAACCGTCACTCCCAGCCCCGACACTGGGAACGCACACGGCAATAAAACAACTGACCGCGTTCATGGCACCGCACTTCCCGGAAAAATAGATGCTTATCTGTGTCGGTGTTGACTTAGGGCCTGGCGCCGGCCGGCCGGGGCGGGAGGAGAGGGGCTGATCGGCGCGGGCCGCTAATGCCAGCCAATCCGCCGGCCGCCGGCCGCCGGGCGCCGCCGGTCACCCAGAGACAATCATGTACCGTAACGAGCCGAACAGGGCGGATACGCGGCGCAGGTGCGGCGGTAAACAGCGCCGCGTGCGGCAGACGTGGCGCGCCGGTGACGATCGCGCCGCGAAAACACCGAGAGGGCCCGTCGGCCGGACAGTGGTGGAAGCCCGGGGTGTATGGGCTGGGTACTGGGCGGTGGGCTGGTCGAACGGGCCAAAGGGAAAAAATTCGATAACTTTAAGTTACGAGAGTAAATGCGGATGCATAGATACTACATTGTGTGGATGGCGTCTCGTTCGACCCGGCGCGGCCCTCTCGTGCCCGGCCCGGCGGCCGCCTCTGCCAGTCCCGTCGCCCGGTCGGTGACGCCGCCCCATAATGGAATAACATCATAAAAGCCATTATCCGGGACAGTGGTACGACCGCCATAGCCGGTCGGCGCCGCTCGAAAAATCCACACTCCGCCATTACCGAGCTGCCAACGACGGAGCCCGGCCGGAATCACTGCACAGAAATACGGGCCGCCATAAAGTTAAGTTGCCCACGGCAGCCTAGAATGAGCCAAGACGCGTTAAAACAATTCGTTTAATTAACACTAAACCGTGGCGCCGAGAGGAATGCCCGAAATAGCGTAATTGTGGGCTCGGCGGCAATTCACGACGAGAGCGGAGCGGAATGTGCGTCCCATTTGCAACACGGGCGGGAGGCGGAGCGCGGGCGGTGTCGGGCGGTGGCGACCGGACGGGAGGAACGGAGACTGCAGCGGCCGACCAGGAGGCTAACCCGGCCGGCCGGTC